CCCCAGCCCGACTGTGAACGCATGATCATGCAAGACGGTATGCCACATACAAGTTGGGAATATACTTTATTATTATCCTTCTCTCATTTCAGGACTTCAACGGCCAAATGAACACTCCTCACGAAGAAGAAAATGCGCCTCCCAGAAGGACATATGTACACTTGAAAACGACCAATATATCTCAACATTCAATGACGTCCATTTTGAGCCTTTTTTCCGTTACAGATGGATGGGTGCGCTAGTTATTTAGGCATCGTTCACCCCTAGCCGCATGTTAGTCGGGTGCTTCGGTTACGTTCGTTCAGCAGTCTGGTATGATCGACGTAGGTACTATGTGGCTTGTTAGTTTGGCATCGTGTACCCCTAACCGCATGTTGGTCGTGTGCGTCCGTTAAGTTCGTTCAGCAGTCTGGTATGATCGAAGTAGGTACTATGTGGCTAGTTAGTTAGGCATCGTGTAACCCTAGCCGCATGTTAGTCGTGTGCGTCGGTTAGGTTCGTGCTTATTGACCTTGAGAATTAGCACACTTAAACAAACCGCCATAGTAAATGATTTTCAATAATACAGGAGCATATACATCATACATAGACATTCTACACTATGAAGTGGCAAGTCTGAAAATGCCGAAGATTTCGAGAAATCAGTCTCATTATGCGAATAGCCAACGGCTTTTTCCCTCGTGCAAATTTGTGAAAGAATTCTTCCGCTGTTCATTTATTCACCTAGCACATACGATTCATTTGTTGAAATTTCTCACTCTAACGAGATTTACGTGATAACTCCTGTTATTTCGCATCCAGTCCCAACCACGACATTGATGACTACGGAGTGCCCTCTGCAGCCATCGTTAGACCACAACAATGCGGACGAAATGGCTGTCCGTCGAACGTAAGCCATGGTAAGCGATGCCACCCATGAAAGGTCTTGTAACAGGCGAACAGTGTGTCCGAGTGACGCGTAATGCCAGAACCTCCGGAAGGCAAATCGAAATCTGGGCTGGGTTTCTATACGGTAATATTTTCGTAAGACAAATTCACAAACCATACAAACCTCGACACATGTTTCACTTTGACTGCAAAATTACAAACCAAAGTAGCAAACAGGCTCCCACGTGAGACAGTCACAAGCGCAAAGTCGGCTACATATGGCCGGGTGACCTCAAGGCCAAATAAGTGGGGTGGTAAGGACAAACAACCGTCACTTCATATACACACACTAAACACAAATGTGGGGAGGGGTTTACAAACGGGGATAGAATAAGCGCGGTGAATTTCAGTTGTCAAAGTAGTGGATGATGCAGGCCTCTGGCACTCTAAATGCAGGGGTATACAGCCAACTTTCCTGGCCCATTTGTCCGCATCGACTGCCGCTGGGTTAAGGGTGCAGTGCATACCGCAGCGAAGCAGAAGGGGTCCAGAAACGAAACCAACTTCCGTTTGTTGAATCAGAAAGACCAGTGCGAGTGTTCTCCTTCGATCGGGACATTGGATGCAGAACTGGAACATATTGCTAAAGCGCTAGATAGTTCAAACACAAGGAACGCAGCGACCTGGTCGAAAGCTGATGAAGAATTTTCTTCGCTGAACAGGTAACTCGCGCTATCCATCTCGTGTCCACTGTCCGCGGAGACCACAGTCAACCACTAAATCCCTCGTACATCTAGATGGCCGTGCTGATCGCCGGCGGATCGAGTGTCAACACAAACAGGAAGGAAAGACGAGTGCAGCCAAGGGAGTCACATGAAATTCGCTAAATCAGAAAACTGCTGGCTGGCTTCAAGGCGCAGTACTCCGCGAAAACAAACCTCATGGAAGCGCCACCAAAGAATTACTTTTTGAGCTCCTGAATGGAGCTCCAGCGAGTCAGACCAAGCAGACGTTTTGCAGCGGTTCTGATTGAAGTCGTTCAAAAGAGCTCTTGAACTCAACATGTCGCTGCACCCACCAGATACCGCGCAGGCCAAGTAACACTCCTCCTGGATTTGGTCATCACTAAAGAAGGACACTTGGTTGATCAGTTGATTATTGATGCTGTGCTGGGACATACAGACCACTGTGTGCTGACCGTTGATTTCGTCTGCTATTGGGTCAGAAATCCCGAACCCCAAACGTGGTTTCGAAACTTCTGCCACACAAACATCCCAGGAATGCGAACAAGTGAAACTTCTTGTACTTTTTGAACAACTTATGCTTGGACCATCTTTAGTGGAAGACTTATGTAGGAACATTATCCAGAATGTTCCCGGGGCTGACGCGATGTTCATGACAAAAA